GGAATTTTGCACACGCTAGGCCCTTGTTCTTTTTATTTTGCACACGCTAGGCCCTTGTTCTTTTTATTTTGCACACGCTAGGCCCTTGTTCTTGCTATTTTGCACACGCTATGCCCTTGTTCTTTTTATTTTGCACACGCTAGGTCCTTGTTCTTGCAATTTTGCACATGCTAGACCCTTGTTCTTTTTATTTTGCACACGCTAGGCCCTTGCTCTTGCTATTTTGCGAACGCTAGGCCCATGTTCTTGATTTTTTGCACACGCTAGGCCCTTGCTCTTGCTATTTTGCACTCGCTGGGCCCTTGTTCTTGCAATTTTGCATACGCTAGGCCCTTGTTCTTGCAATTTTGCACACGCTAGGCCCTTGTTCTTTTTATTTTGCACACGCTAGGCCCTTGTTCTTTTTATTTTGCACACGCTAGGCCCTTGTTCTTGCTATTTTGCACACGCTATGCCCTTGTTCTTTTTATTTTGCACACGCTAGGCCCTTGTTCTTGCATTTTTGCACATGCTAGACCCTTGTTCTTTTTATTTAGCACACGCTAGTCCCTTGTTCTTGCTATTTCACGAACGCTAGGCTCTTGTTCTTGATTTTTCGCACACGCTAGGCCCTTCTTCTTGGTATTTTGCACTCGCTAGGCCCTTGTTCTTGCAATTTTGCACACGCTAGGCCCTTGTTCTTGAAATTTTGCACACGCTAGGCCCTTGTTCTTTATATTTTGCACACGCTAGGCCCTTGTTCGTTTTATTTTGCACACGCTAGGCCCTTGTTCTTGCTATTTTGCACACGCTATGCCCTTGTTCTTTTTATTTTGCACACGCTAGGCCCTTGTTCTTGCAATTTTGCACATGCTAGATCCTTGTTCGTTATATTTAGCACACGCTAGGCCCTTGTTCTTGCTATTTCACGAACGCTAGGCCCTTGTTCTTGATTTTTCGCACACGCTAGGCCCTTGGTCTTGCTATTTTGCACTCGCTAGGCCCTTGTTCTTGCAATTTTGCACACGCTAGGCCCTTGTTCTTGCAATTTTGCACACGCTAGGCCCTTGTTCTTTATTTTTTGCACACGCTAGGCCCATGTTCTTGCAATTTTGCACATGCTAGACCCTTGTTCATTATATTTTGCACACGCTAGGCCCTTGTTCTTGCTATTTTGCAAACGCTATGCCCTTGTTCTTTTTTTTTTGCACACGCTAGGCCCTTGTTCTTGCAATTTTGCACATGCTAGACCCTTGTTCGTTATATTTAGCACACGCTAGGCCCTTGTTCTTGCTATTTCACGAACGCTAGGCCCTTGTTCTTGATTTTTCGCACACGCTAGGCCCTTCTTCTTGGTATTTTGCACTCGCTAGGCCCTTGTTCTTGCAATTTTGCACACGCTAGGCCCTTGTTCTTGAAATTTTGCACACGCTAGGCCCTTGTTCTTTATATTTTGCACACGCTAGGCCCTTGTTCGTTTTATTTTGCACACGCTACGCCCTTGTTCTTGCTATTTTGCACACGCTATGCCCTTGTTCTTTTCATTTTGCACACGCTAGGCCCTTGTTCTTGCAATTTTTCAACGCTAGGCCCTTAATCTTTTTATTTTGCACACGCTAGGCCCTTGTTCTTTTTATTTTGCACACGCTAGGCCCTTGTTGTTGCTATTTTGCAAACGCTATGCCCTCGTTCTTTTTTTTTTGCACACGCTAGGCCCATGTTCTTGCAATTTTGCACATGCTAGACCCATGTTCATTATATTTTGCACACGCTAGGTCCTTGTTCTTGCTATTTTGCAAACACTATGCCCTCGTTCTTTTTTTTTTTGCACACGCTAGGCCCTTGTTCTTTCAATTTTGCACATGCTAGACCCTTGTTCGTTATATTTAGCACACGCTAGGCCCTTGTTCTTGCTATTTCACGAACGCTAGGCCCTTGTTCTTGATTTTTCGCACACGCTAGGCCCTTGGTCTTGCTATTTTGCACTCGCTAGGCCCTTGTTCTTGCAATTTTGCACACGCTAGGCCCTTGTTCTTGCAATTTTGCACACGCTAGGCCCTTGTTCTTTTTATTTTGCACACGCTAGGCTCTTGTTCTTTTTATATTGCACACGCTAGGCCCTTGTTCTTGCTATTTTGCACACGCTATGCCCTTGATCTTTTTATTTTGCACAGCCTAGGCTCTTGTTATTGCAATTTTGCAACGCTAGGCCCTTGTTCTTTTTATTTTGCACATGCTAGGCCCTTGTTCTTTTTATTTTGCACACGCTAGGCCCTTGTGCTTGCTATTTTGCAAACGCTATCCCCCCGTTTTTTTTTTTGTTGCACACGCTAGGCCCTTTTTCTTGCAATTTTGCACATGCTAGACCCTTGTTCGTTATATTTTGCACACGCTAGGCCCTTGTTCTTTTTCTTTTGCACACGCTAGGCTCTTGTTCTTGCAATTTTGCAACGCTAGGCCCTTGTTCTTTTTATTTTGCACATGCTAGGCCCTTGTTCTTTTTATTTTGCACACGCTAGGCCCTTGTTCTTTTTTTTTTGCACACGCTAGGCCCTTGTTCTTGCTATTTTGCACACGCTATGCCCTTGATCTTTTTATTTTGCACACCCTAGGCTCTTGTTATTGCAATTGTGCAACGCTAGGCCCTTGTTCTTTTTATTTTGCACATGCTAGGCCCTTGTTCTTTTTATTTTGCACATGCTAGGCCCTTGTTCTTGCTATTTTGCAAACGCTATGCCCTCGTTCTTTTTTTTTTGCACACGCTAGGCCCTTGTTCTTGCAATTTTGCACATGCTAGACCCTTGTTCGTTATATTTTGCACACGCTAGGCCATTGTTCTTGCTATTTCGCGAACGCTAGGCCCTTGTTCTTGATTGTTTGCACACGCTAGGCCCTTCCTCTTGCTATTTTGCACTCGCTAGGCCCTTGTTCTTGCAATTTTGCACACGCTAGGCCCTTGTTCTTGCAATTTTGCACACGCTAGGCCCTTGTTCTTTTTATTTTGCACACGCTATGCCCTTGTTCTTTTTATTTTGCACACGCTAGGCCCTTGTTCTTGCTATTTTGCACATGCTATGCCCTTGTTCTTTTTATTTTGCACACGCTAGGCCCTTGTTCTTGCAATTTTGCACATGCTAGACCCTTGTTCTTTTTATTTTGCACACGCTAGGCCCTTGCTCTTGCTATTTTGCGAACACTAGGCCCTTGTTCTTGATTTTTTGCACACGCTAGGCCCTTGCTCTTGCTATTTTGCACTCGCTAGGCCCTTGTTATTGCAATTTTGCATACGCTAGGCCCTTGTTCTTGCAATTTTGCACACGCTAGGCCCTTGTTCTTTTTATTTTGCACACGCTAGGCCCTTGTTCTTTTTATTTTGCACACGCTAGGCCCTTGTTCTTGCTATTTTGCACACGCCATGCCCTTGTTCTTTTTATTTTGCACACGCTAGGCCCTTGTTCTTGCAATTTTGCACATGCTAGACCCTTGTTCTTTTTATTTAGCACACGCTAGGCCCTTGTTCTTGCTATTTCACAAACGCTAGGCCCTTGTTCTTGATTTTTCGCACACGCTAGGCCCTTCTTCTTGGTATTTTGCACTCGCTAGGCCCTTGTTCTTGCAATTTTGCACACGCTAGGCCCTTGTTCTTGAAATTTTGCACACGCTAGGCCCTTGTTCTTTATATTTTGCACACGCTAGGCCCTTGTTCGTTTTATTTTGCACACGCTAGGCCCTTGTTCTTGCTATTTTGCACACGCTATGCCCTTGTTCTTTTTATTTTGCACACGCTATGCCCTTGTTCTTGCAAATTTTCAACGCTAGGCCCTTAATCTTTTTGTTTTGCACACGCTAGGCCCTTGTGTCAGAACATATCTATAGCTTATACTGCTGTGTAGGCTGTAGTGTGGTATCCCATAGGGGGTACAACCCAGTTAGGGTTTCATATTTGTACTGCTTTCATTCATAGGTTATTCATTCCTGCTTACTCATTTTCACATGGTATAGAGCTAGGTCCCTCCAGGACCGAAGTTTTTTTTTGGGCCCACCGAAGCGCGCCCCCGAGGCGCGATTTTTTTTAGCGACCCCTCGAGTCGCCCTCTCCCCTGCGGCCTCGCCGCCCACTCTGTAGCGGCCCCGCCCTGCTCCTTACGCGGCCCCGCCGCCTGCTCCTTACACGGCCCCGCCCCGGCCCTTACGCGGCCCCGCGTCGCCTCCTACGCGGCCCTTACGCGGCCCCGCGCCGGCCCCTTACGCGGCCCTTCCGCGGCCCTTACGCGGCCACGCCGCCGGCTCCTTACGCGGCCCCGCGCCGGCCCCTTACGCGGCCCTTACGCGGGCCTTACGCGGCCACGCCGCCAGCTCCTACGCGGCCCCGCGCCGGCTCCTTACGCGGCCCGTCCCCGGCCCCTACGCGGCTCCGCACCGGCTCCTACGCGGCTCTTACGCGGCCCCGCGCCGGCCCCCCCCCCCCTTACGCGGCCCTGACGCGGCCACGCCGCCGGCTCCTACGCGGCCCCGCGCCGGCTCTCACGCGGCCCCGCAGCTGGCTCCTACTCGGCCCCGCAGCCGGCCCCTTAAGCGGCCCCACCGCCGGCCTCCTACTCGGCCCTGCCCCGGCTCCTATCACGGCCCCGCCCCGGCTCCTTCGCGGCCCTGCCCCGGCTCCTACGCGGCCCTACCGCCGGCCCTGACGCGGCCCCGCCGCGTCTCACTTCTACGCGACCCGAGCCGCCTGTCGCCGGGCAGCCCGGGACCCGAGCCGCCCTGCAGCCGAGCCGCCCGGGAGCCGAGCCGCCCTGCACCCGAGCCGCCCTGCAGCCGAGCCGCCCGGGAGCCGAGCCGCCCTGCACCCGAGCAGCCCTGCCGTCGAGCCGCCCGGGAGCCGATCCGCTGTACACCCGAGCCGCCCGGTCGCCGTTCTGCTTTTCTGTCGAGCTGCGCGACCTGCCCTGCCTGGTGAGCACAGTCCCACTGTCACTGCGTGCTCTCCCCCCTACTGCTCGCACTGCTTCACAGTCGTCGTCATGGCTACCCCTAGTGTCCTAGCTTTTGACGCTAAGGGTCGCGCCATTGATTTTGAGGTCTGGCTAGACGACCTGCAGCTGTTCTTACAGTGCGACAGGGCTGATGACCTTTCTCTCTTTGACCTCACCTCTGGCGCCTCTCCTGCTCCTGCTGCTGATGCTGATCCCGCTGTCCGCTCTAAGTGGGCCACCCGCGATGCTGCTGCACGTCTTGCTGTGCGTCGCCACCTCCCTACCTCTGAGCGTGCGCACTTTAGTCAGTACAAGAGTGCTCAGACCTTGTACGACGCTGTAGTTGCGCGCTACTCCTCCCCTGCCACTACTGCCCTGAGCCGTCTCATGCTTCCCTACCTCTTTCCTGACCTCTCTGCCTTTCCCACTGTCGCTGACCTCATTACGCACCTCCGCACTAGTGACACTCGCTACCGCGCCGCCCTTCCTGCTGAGTTCTGCGCTAGGAACCCCCCTCCCATGTACATCGCTCTCTACTACGTAGTCGCGCGCCTCCCTGACTCCCTTCGCGTCGTCAGGGACCACTTTCTCGCAGTCTGTCCCACCACTCTCACCGTCGACCTCCTCGAGAAGGCCCTCCTTGCAGCGGAGAAGAGCATAGTCGATGTAGGTGCTTCTCGTGGTGACCCTCGCACCCCCATCTTTGAGGGGTGCTCTCCTTCCCCCTTGCTGCCTTCTGTTGCCTCTGCTGCTGCTGCCGACCTGCTTGGTCTTGAGTCGGTCGGCGCGGCGTCTGCCCCTAGTGGGAGACGTCGCTCCAGCAAGGGCAAGGGAGGCAAGGGCGCGGGTGGAGCTGGGGGGGGGCGGTGGCGGTGGCGGCGGTGGCGGCGGAGGGAGTGGGGGTGGCGGCGGGACTAGTGGCGGGGGTGGTGGTGGTGGTGGTGGCAGCAGCGGCGGAGACGGTGGTGGTGGTGCCAGCGGTGGTGGTGGAGGCAGCGGCGGAGGTGGAGGCGGCGGAGGTGGAGGCAGTGGAGGCGGCAGCGGCGGAGGCAGTAGTGGTGGAGGAGGTGGAGCTGGTCGGGGTGGTACCCAGCAGCGTAGCGGCGGTAGTGGTGGCCAGCGCTCGCACCGGCAGCAGCAGCAGCGCTCACGGGACATCCCTTCGCCTCAGCAGCTTCGTGAGTGGTACGCTGGGCGTCAGAGGGGTGGGGGTACTGGTCCCTGCACCTACGTTCTTCGTTCCGGCGACCGAGCGGGTGAGCAGTGTGGGGGTGCCCACGCCACCCAGCGCTGCTTTGGCCGCCTGACGGACGCCTGGCGTCAGCAGTTCCCTGGGGCTAGTGAGATCCCTCGCTGGGATGAGCTTCTCAGGGCTGGTGTAGTGATCTTTGATCTTGATTTTGATGCTATCCTTACTGCTATGTATGTTGTGGATTATAGTGAGGAGAATGAGGGTTACCGGTGTTTCCAGCCCGACCCGGGCATTGGTACTGCTGCGCTAGGTACTTGTGAGGCTGCTGCTCTAGGTGCCAGTGCGTCTGCGCTCTCAGGTACTGGTGAGACTGCGTTCTCAGGTACTGAGTCGTCCTCGTCCTCCCTCACTTTCACACTTGACTCCGGAGCTTCTCGCTCCTTCTTTCGAGACCGCACTACCCTTTCGCCGCTCGCCAGGCCGGTTGCGGTCTCCCTTGCTGACCCCTCTGGGGGTCCTGTCCTGTCTCACTTCTCCACTGTCCTCCCGTGTCCGGCTGCCCCTTCGGGCACCCTGTCTGGTCTGTACCTTCCCTCGTTCTCTACGAACTTGGTGAGTGGAGCGGACCTGCAGGATGGGGGTGTTCACCAGTTCACTCCTGCGCGTCAGCGGGTGACCCACTGCACGGAGGCTCGCACAGGCCGACACCTGGCCACGTTCTCGCGTCGGCCGGGGTCGAGTCTCTACACCCTGACCGTTGAGTCTCCTCCTGTCCCTGCGTCTGGTCAGGTGGCTGCGTCGGGTCAGGTACTTGCTGCTGCGTCCCGGTCAGGTCCTGAGTCTGCCCCCTGTTCTTGTCGCCTCCTGTCTCACGAGACTCTCCTGTGGCACCACCGTCTTGGCCACCCCTCCTTGCCCCGTCTTCGGAGCATGGCTTCCCGTGTCCTTGTCTCTGGTCTTCCCCAGTCTCTCCCTCCTCTCCCCTCCGGGCCAGGACCTTCCTGTGTCCCCTGTGTTGAGGGTCGCCTCCGGGCTACTCCTCACTCCTCCCACTTCCCCCCGACAGAGGCTCCCCTGCAGACGCTTCACATGGATGTGTGGGGCCCAGCCCCCGTCCGTGGGCAGGGTTACGAGCGATACTTCCTGTTGGTGGTTGACGACTACTCGCGTTACACCACAGTCCTCCCCTTGCGCAGCAAGGGTGCGGTCACTGAGGTGCTGATCGACTGGATCCGCGAGGCTCGTCTCCAGCTCAGGAAGAGCTTCGGCTCGGACTTTCCTGTTCTGCGTCTGCACTCTAACAGAGGCGGAGAGTTCTCTTCTCGCCTTCTGCGAGACTACTGTCGTGCACGGGGGATCCGCTAGACCTTCACGCTTCCGGACTCACCACAGCAAAATGGGATTGCTGAGCGCCGCATTGGCATGGTCATGGATGTCGCTCGTACGTCCATGATGCATGCGGCTGCCCCCCATTTTCTGTGGCCGTTTGCGGTGAGGTACGCGGCGCATCAGCTCAACCTTCACCCCCGGGTCTCTCGGCCTGCGATGTCCCCAGTCTTGCTGTGGACAGGGAAGGTTGGCGATGCGTCTGTGTTCCGTGTCTGGGGATCTCGGGCGTTTGTCCGCGACTTGTCTGCGGACAAGCTGTCCCCTCGTGCTGCTCCCTGTGTCTTTCTTGGCTTCCCCACTGACGCCCCAGGGTGGCAGTTTTACCACCCCTCCTCTCGTCGTGTTCTGTCCTCCCAGGACGTCACGTTCGACGAGTCAGTCCCCTTCTACCGTCTCTTCCCCTACCGCACTCCTTCCCTCCCCCCTCCCCCGGACTTCCTTGTGCCGGTTCCCCCCCCGGTAGACCCCCTCCCCCCTCAGGTTCCTGCCCCCTCAGGTGTGTCCCAGGTAGACGCCGTTGACCCGGTCGAGGTTACTGGTGACTCTGGTCCTGCTGCGGGTGCTGAGCCTGGGGGTGCTGACTCTGGGGGTACTGTGCGCGGGGGTGCTTTGCCTGGGGGTGCTACTGCTGGGGGTGCTGGGCCTGAGGGTGCTACTGCGGTGGGTGCGGAGCCTGGGAATGCTGAGCCGGGGGGTGCTGTGCCTAGAGGTGCTGGGTCTGGGGGTGCTGGGTCGGGAGCTGCTGAGCCTGGGGGTGCTGAGCTGGGAGCTGCTGAGCCTGGGGGTGCTGCGTCTGGAGCTGCTGAGCCTGGGGTTTCTCCTGCTGCTGCGTCTCGCCGGGAGCCCCTCTCTCCACAGGAGCTGCGTGAGTGGTTCGCTCGCCGCTGGAGGCGTGCTGCTGAGTCTGAAGGTGCTGCTGGGGCTGGAGCTGGAGCTTCTTCGATCGTCGAGGGTGCGGGTGCTGCCGGTCCCGGAGCTGCTGGACCTACGGGTCCTCCTGGAGCTGGAGCTGCTGAGGGCTTTCGTGCTGAGCCTGCTGCTGTTGGTCCTGCCGCTGGAGGTGTGGGTGGCGCTGGTGCTGTCGCTGAGGGTGCTGGTGCTGTCCCTGCTGAGACTGGAGCTGCCGCGCGGCCTCGGCCGTACTTCGTTCCGCTCCTTCAGCAGGTTCTTGGTCTTTCTCCTCCAGTAGAGGGTCCACCGCCTGTCCAGTCGCAGTCCCTACTGGAGCCTTCCTCTCCACTGCCTGCTCCCTCTCCTTACACTGGTCCTACTGGAGGTCTTGCTGAGCGTCGTGAGCCTGCGTCTCGCCCCGCGTCGCCTGTTCGTGCTGCTCGCGCTAGTGGTCGCAGTTCGCGTCAGCGTCCTCCTCCTGTCCCTGGCACGCACCGGATGTCTCTGCGTCCGTCCACTGCTCCTCTGCGTGCCCCTTTGCCTTCTCCTCCTGAGTCCTCTCTTCCTGCGCTTGCCGACCCTGAGTCGGACTCTCTTCGCGCTGCGAGTCCTACTGTCACGCGTCTGCTTGCTACTGTCGTCACTGACCCCTCTTTTGAGTCCACTGCTGCGTCTGCTCTAGTCGCTGAGCTCGTCGACTTTGCTGCTCGCTGTCGTCTCGACTACGCTGCTAGTCTTGTTGCTGAGTCTGCGTCTGTCTGTCCTCCGTCCGTCGGGGGTGAGTGTGCTCTTGGCACGGACGTCCTAGAGGACAGGCAGGAGGAGTTACAGTGTCTGGCTGCTGCTTCACCTCATCTCGCGTCTGTACTGCTTGCCCCTGAGGGAGACCCGGATGCACTAGACATCCCGACTCCGCGTTCTTACGCGGAGGCCGTAGAGGGCCCCTACTCCTCTCAGTGGCAGGCAGCCATGGATGCAGAGATGGCTTCCTGGAAGTCCACAGGCACCTACGTTGACGCGGTTCCCCCTCCTGGGGCGAACATCGTCAGTGGCATGTGGATCTTCAGGGTGAAGCGGCCGCCGGGCTCTCCACCTGTCTTCAAGGCACGGTACGTTGCTCGTGGCTTCAGTCAGCGGCAGGGAGTTGACTACTTTCAGACCTTCTCTCCCACCCCGAAGATGACTACTCTTCGGGTGCTGCTGCACATAGCCGCTCAGCGCGACTACGAGCTTCACTCTCTCGACTTCAGCACTGCGTTCTTGCAGGGTAGCCTGCACGAGGGGATCTGGCTTCGCCGTCCACCTGGCTTCACTGGGACTTTCCCTCCTGGCACCCAGTGGAGCCTCAGACGGCCAGTCTACAGTCTCCGCCAGGCGCCGCGTGAGTGGCACGACACACTGAGGACTACGCTTGCGGCTCTTGGGTTTGCTCCTTCTACTGCTGACCCGTCGCTGTTTCTTCGCACCGACACTTCCCTGCCGCCGTTCTACATCCTCGTGTACGTCGACGACTTGGTCTTTGCAACAGCGGACACTGCTGGACTCGCCTACGTGAAGTCCGAGCTGCTGAAGAGACACACGTGCACAGACCTGGGTGAACTGCGCAGCTACCTTGGCTTGCAGATCACTCGGGACAGAGCACGCCGCACCATTACCTTGACTCAGTCACACATGGTGCAGCAGGTCCTTCAGCGCTTCGGCTTCACGTACTCCTCGCCTCAGGCCACTCCTCTGCCTACTCGCCACTCACTCTCAGCTCTGCCTTCGGATGAGTCCGTAGAGTCGAGTGGTCCATATGCAGAGCTTGTTGGCTGCCTCATGTACCTGATGACCTGCACACGACCTGACCTTGCATACCCTCTGAGCATTCTTGCGCGCTATGTTGCTCATGGGAGACACAGACCGGAGCACATGGCTGCAGCGAAGAGGGTATTGCGCTACCTGTGCAGTACGTCAGGCATGGGGCTAGTGCTTGGAGGGCGGAGTCCAGTGGTCCTTACCGGCCACGCGGACGCTTCTTGGGCTGACGACTAGGCTACGCAGCGGTCGTCACAGGGTTACACCTTCAGCCTTGGTTCCGGCTCTGTCTCGTGGCGGTCTACTCGCTCGTCTTCGGTTCTCGGCTCCAGTTGTGAGGCTGAGATCTACGCCGGAGCCATGGCTGCACAGGAGCTTCGCTGGCTCACCTACCTGCTGACTGACCTCGGAGAGCCGCCTCGTTCTCCTCCAGTGCTGTACGTAGACAACAAGGCTATGCTGGCCTTGTGTCGAGAGCAGCGCTTGGAGCACAGAACGAAGCACATTGCTCTCCGCTACTTCCTTGCTCGTGAGTTGCAGCAGCGTGGTCAGTTGCGACTTGCGTACGTGGCCTCTGAGGCCAACACTGCTGATGTGTTCACCAAGGCACTTGCGCCTTGTGACCATCAGCGCTTCTGCACCCAGCTGGGTCTTGTGCCTGTCTTGCCTCACTTGCTCTCCTCTTGACTTTACTTGTACTGTGACATATATATATTCCTGATCTTGCTTGTCTAGTTTCATATATATATGTCTGTACTCTTGCTTGTGAACTGGCCTTTGGCCTTGCTCTTGTGCTCGGACTGTGTGGTGACTTTGTGATCCACCCTGAGCTTTGCTTTGTCTTGCTTGACTGGTCTTGTGACCCCTTGTTCTCCCCCACTTTGCCTATGGGGGTGTGTCAGAACATATCTATAGCTTATACTGCTGTGTAGGCTGTAGTGTGGTATCCCATAGGGGGTACAACCCAGTTAGGGTTTCATATTTGTACTGCTTTCATTCATAGTTCATTCATTCCTGCTTACTCATTTTCACACCTTGTTCTTTCTATTTTGCACACGCTAGGCCCTTGTTCTTTCTATTTTGCAAACGCTATGCCCTCCTTCTTTTTTTTTTGCACATGCTAGGCCCATGTTCTTGCAATTTTGCACATGCTAGACCCTTGTTCATTATATTTTGCACACGCTAGGCCCTTGTTCTTGCTATTTTGCAAACACTATGCCCTCGTTCTTTTTTTTTTTTGCACACGCTAGGCCCTTGTTCTTGCAATTTTGCACATGCTAGACCCTTGTTCGTTATATCTAGCACACGCTAGGCCCTTGTTCTTGCTATTTCACGAACGCTAGGCCCTTGTTCTTGATTTTTCGCACACGCTAGGCCCTTGGTCTTGCTATTTTGCACTCGCTAGGCCCTTGTTCTTGCAATTTTGCACACGCTAGGCCCTTGTTCTTGCAATTTTGCACACGCTAGGCCCTTGTTCTTTTTATTTTGCACACGCTAGGCCCTTGTTCTTGCTATTTTGCACACGCTATGCCCTTGATCTTTTTATTTTGCACACCCTAGGCTCTTGTTATTGCAATTTTGCAACGCTAGGCCCTTGTTCTTTATATTTTGCACATGCTAGGCCCTTGTTCTTTCTATTTTGCACACGCTAGGCCCTTGTTCTTGCTATTTTGCAAACACTATGCCCCCGTTTTTTTTTTGTTGCACACGCTAGGCCCTTGTTCTTGCAATTTTGCACATGCTAGACCCTTGTTCGTTATATTTTGCACACGCTAGGCCCTTGTTCTTTTTCTTTTGCACACGCTAGGCTCTTGTTCTTGCAATTTTGCAACGCTAGGCCCTTGTTCTTTTTATTTTGCACATGCTAGGCCCTTATTCTTTTTATTTTGCACACGCTAGGCCCTTGTTCTTGCTATTTTGCAAACGCTATGCCCTTGTTCTTTTTTTTTTGCACACGCTAGGCCCTTGTTCTTGAAATTTTGCACATGCTAGACCCTTGTTCGTTATATTTTGCACACGCTAGGCCCTTGTTTTTTTTCTTTTGCACACGCTAGGCTCTTCTTCTTGCAATTTTGCAACGCTAGGCCCTTGTTCTTTTTATTTTGCACATGCTAGGCCCTTCTTCTTTTTATTTTGCACACGCTAGGCCCTTGTTCTTGCAACTTTGCACACGCTAGGCCCTTGTTCTTGCTATTTCGCGAACGCTAGGCCCTTGTTCTTTTTATTTTGCACACGCTAGGCCCTTGTTCTTGCTATTTTGCACACGCTATGCCCTTGTTCTTTTTATTTTGCACACGCTAGGCCCTTGTTCTTGCAATTTTGCACATGCTAGACCCTTGTTCTTTTTCTTTTGCACACGCTAGGCCTTTGCTCTTGCTAATTTGCACTCGCTAGGCCCTTGTTCTTTTTATTTTGCACACGCTAGGCCCTTGTTCTTTTTATTTTGCACACGCTAGGCCCTTGTTCTTGCTATTTTGCACACGCTAGGCCCTTGTTCTTTTTATTTTGCACACGCTAGGCTCTTGTTCTTGCAATTTTGCAACGCTAGGCCCTTGTTCTTTTTATTTTGCACATGCTAGGCCCTTATTCTTTTTATTTTGCACACGCTAGGCCCTTGTTCTTGAAATTTTGCACATGCTAGACCCTTGTTCGTTATATTTTGCACACGCTAGGCCCTTGTTCTTGCAATTTTGCACACGCTAGGCCCTTGTTCTTGCTATTTTGCACACGCTATGCCCTTGTTCTTTTTATTTTGCACATGCTAGGCCCTTGTTCTTGCAATTTTGCATATGCTAGACCCTTGTTCTTTTTATTTTGCACACGCTAGGCCCTTGCTCTTGCTATTTTGCACTCGCTAGGCCCTTGTTCTTTTTATTTTGCATACGCTAGGCCCTTGTTCTTTTTATTTTGCACACGTTAGGCCCTTGTTCTTGCTATTTTGCAAACGCTAGGCCCTTGTTCTTTTTATTTTGCACACGCTAGGCTCTTGTTCTTGCAATTTTGCAACGCTAGGCCCTTGTTCTTTTCATTTTGCACATGCTAGGCCCTTATTCTTTTTATTTTGCACACGCTAGGCCCTTGTTCTTGCTATTTTGCAAACGCTATGCCCTCGTTCTTTTTTTTATTTCACACGCTAGGCCCTTGTTCTTGAAATTTTGCACATGCTAGACCCTTGTTCGTTATATTTTGCACACGCTAGGCCCTTGTTCTTGCTATTTCGCGAATGCTAGGCCCTTGTCCTTGATTTTTTGCACACGCTAGGCCCTTGCTCTTGCTATTTTGCACTCGCTAGGCCCTTGTTCTTGCAATTTTGTATACGCTAGGCCCTTGTTCTTGCAATTTTGCACACGCTAGGCCCTTGTTCTTTTTATTTTGCACACACTAGGCCCTTGTTCTTTTTATTTTGCACATGCTAGGCCCTTGTTCTTACTATTTTGCACACGCTATGCCCTTGTTCTTTTTTTTTTGCACACGCTAGGCCCTTGTTCTTTTTGTTTTGCACACGCTAGGCCCTTGTTCTTGCTATTTTGCAAACGCTATGCCCTCGTTCTTCTTTTTTTGCACACGCTAGGCCCTTGTTCTTGCAATTTTGAACATGCTAGACCCTTGTTCGTTATATTTTGCACACGCTAGGCCTTTGTTCTTGCTATTTCACGAACGCTAGGCCCTTGTTCTTGATTTTTTGCACATGCTAGGCCCTTCCTCTTGGTATTTTGCACTCGCTAGGCCCTTGTTCTTGCAATTTTGCACACGCTAGGCCCTTGTTCTTGCAATTTTGCACACGCTAGGCCCTTGTTCTTTTTATTTTGCACACGCTAGGCCCTTGTTCTTTTTATTTTGCACACGCTAGGCCCTTGTTCTTGCTATTTTGCACACGCTATGCCCTTGTTCTTTCTATTTTGCACACGCTAGGCTCTTGTTCTTGCAATTTTGCAATGCTAGGCCCTTGTTCTTTTTATTTTGCACATGCTAGGCCCTTGTTCTTTTTATTTTGCACACGCTAGGCCCTTGTTCTTGCTATTTTGCAAATGCTATGCCCTCGTTCTTTTTTTTTTGCACACGCTAGGCCCTTGTTCTTGCAATTTTGCACATGCTAGACCCTTGTTCGTTATATTTTGCACACGCTAGGCCCTTGTTCTTGCTATTTCGCGAACGCTAGGCCCTTGTTCTTGATTTTTTGCACACGCTAGGCCCTTCCTCTTGCTATTTTGCACTCGCTAGGCCCTTGTTCTTGCAATTTTGCACACGCTAGGCCCTTGTTCTTGCAATTTTGCACACGCTAGGCCCTTGTTCTTTTTATTTTGCATACGCTAGGCCCTTGTTCTTTTTATTTTGCACACGCTAGGCCCTTGTTCTTGCTATTTTGCACACGCTAGGCCCTTGTTCTTGCAATTTTGCACATGCTAGACCCTTGTTCTTTTTATTTTGCACACGCTAGGCCCTTGTTCTTGCTATTTTGCGAACGCTAGGCCCTTGTTCTTGATTTTTTGCACACGGTAGGCCCTTGCTCTTGCTATTTTGCACTCGCTAGGCCCTTGTTCTTGCAATTTTGCACACGCTAGGCCCTTGTTCTTGCAATTTTGCACACGCTAGGCCCTTGTTCTTTTTTTTTTGCACAAGCTAGGCCCTTGTTCTTTTTATTTCGCACACGCTAGGCCCTTGTTCTTGCTATTTTGCACACGCTATGCCCTTGTTCTTTTTATTTTGCACACGCTAGGCCTTTGTTCTTGCAATTTTGCACATGCTAGACCCTTGTTCTTTTTATTTTGCACATGCTAGGCCCTTGTTTTTGCTATTTCGCAAACGCTAGGCCCTTGTTCTTGATTTTTCGCACACGCTAGGCCCTTGCTCTTGCTATTTTGTACTCGCTAGGCCCTTCTTTTTGCAATGTTGCACACGCTAGGCCCTTGTTCTTGCAATTTTGCACACGCTAGGCCCTTGTTCTTTTTATTTTGCACACGCTAGGCTCTTGTTCTTTTTATTTTGCACACGCTAGGCCCTTGTTCTTTTTATTTTGCACACGCTAGGCCCTTGTTCTTGCTGTTTTGCACACGCTATGCCCTTGTTCTTTTTATTTTGCACACGCTAGGCCCTTGTTCTTGCAATTTTGCACATGCTAGACCTTTGTTCTTTTTATTTTGCACACGCTAGGCCCTTGTTCTTGCTATTTCGCGAAGGCTTGGCCCTTGTTCTTGATTTTTTTGCACACGCTAGGCCCTTGTTCTTGCTATTTTGCACTCGCTAGGCCCTTGTTCTTGCAATTTTGCACACGCTAGGCCCTTGTTCTTGCAATTTTGCACACACTAGGCCCTTGTTCTTTTTATTTTGCACACGCTAGGCCCTTGTTCTTTTTATTTTGCACACGCTAGGCCCTTGTTCTTGCTATTTTGCACACGCCATGCCCTTGTTCTTTTTATTTTGCACACGCTAGGCCCTTGTCCTTTTTATTTTGCACACGTTAGGCCCTTGTTCTTGCTATTTTGCAAACGCTAGGCCCTTGTTCTTTTTATTTTGCACACGCTAGGCTCTTGTTCTTGCAATTTTGCAACGCTAGGCCCTTGTTCTTTTCATTTTGCACATGCTAGGCCCTTATTCTTTTATTTTGCACACACTAGGCCCTTGTTCTTGCTATTTTGCAAACGCTATGCCCTCGTTCTTTTTTTTATTTCACACGCTAGGCCCTTGTT